CCCTCTCTCCCTCTCCCTCCCTCACTCTCACTCTCCCTCCCTCACTCACTCTCACTCTCCCTCCCTCACTCTCCCTCCCTCTCTCCCTCCCTCCCTCCATCTCACTCTCCCTCCCTCCCTCCATCTCACTCTCCCTCTCCGTCCCTCCCTCCCTCTCCCTCTCTCTCTCGAGGAAGGCGATAACAGTGCCATCCCTGCACCATGCAGTGAACTCTCTGCATTGGCAAGCCGCTGCCTGTTGGCAAACTGGCACGGACGGGCCACGGCACCGGCGATTGTCTGAGGGACAGGGTGAGATGCCAGTGCCAACTCTGAAAAGTAGGGAGATGATGTTGCACACCGTGAGGAACACACTTGAGTGTGAGAATAACACAAAGAGCTGGGGAAACTCAGCGGGTCTGGCAGCGCCGGTGAGGACAGGAAGAAAGCGAACGCTTTGAGTGACTCCCGTCTGGAACGCGGAGAGAGCTGGAAAATGACACTTCCAATACCAGTGAGGGGCGTCAGGGGGGAGAGGAGTGAGCGGAACAAATGGGCGGAGGGTTCAGAACAAGATAAAACCAGTGATACTGGTGGTAAAGGAGTGATAGGGATGTAAGATAGGTGTTAATGATTGGTGTGAAAAGCAGAAAATGGATCTGCTCCAGCAGCACACAGAGACAACAAGGCATTCTTCCTTTCGGTCTTCTGAGATTGAATACTACCTGACCATCCCGCAAGGTCACAGTGCCCTGGTATCGACCTAGAGTTTCCAGAATGATGATGTACACTGTTTCCTCCCCCCCAACACAAAGTCACCCACAGATACACAATTACATACCGAACACACAACAGCACAGAGAACCAATTGCAAACAATACACAGCAGACCAGTTACAGATTTACACACCGAACACTAAATTGCACAGACACAATCACGGACTGAACACGGTCAGGGGCAAATCCACCTGATATGGCAAAAATCTAAACACAATGTACAGACAACTCCACCTCATATTCAGAATGGCTGACTTTGT